TCGTGATTCGGCAGATGAAGATCTTCAAGGAGCAGTGGATGGGGATGGGTATTTCGCTTTCCCTCGGGCTCGTCCAGTCGGACCAAGAGCTCGCAGCTGCGATTTGGCGGAATCTGTTGGGTGCTAGAGGTGCGAGTGGGATTGCGTTGCCGTCTTCTTCCGGTGAGTCTTTCACTTAGTGGGGGTATATGGGGCTGAAATAGCTTCTAGCTACGAACTCTGCAGCGGAGACGAATGGATACTTCAGGCGAGCGGTGAACTTGGTTGGAGGAGAGGTCGTGAATCTTTTGAAAGAGGAGAGGATGGATGAAGGGTCGGGCCTATATATTTGTGTAGAGTACGACGAACAATACGAGCGGTTTTTCAAGCGAGACAGCGCTTGCTACCCAAGACGAGCCTCTGTCCAATGAAAGAGCAAGAAACTGGACGCCGAGTGTTTTTGAAAGGAATCAGGCACGGTGAATGGCAACCAAAACTCATAAGGCCACGAATGCAGCTTTTCAGAAATTCATTTTTTGGCCATAGTCTCCCCGTCCCGAAGGTCACTCGATGGTTGAAAAAAAAAGGTCCCCCATAAGGGGGCTTCGATTCACTATCAACACTGTCTACGTTCACGAGCGCTTATTTAGGGTCCTGGTGCGGCATCTTGGCAGGTCCTGTCCAAGTCAGACCGCATGCGGGCCACGGTAAAGGGCCAAACTTACTCACCAAACAGATACCGCAGGCACAAGTGCCGTTGGACAATGAAATCCAAGGTCAGAAGAAACCGCTGAAACGAGAACTTACCAGAACCTCGAACAAGTCTCTGAAGAGGTTAGGGAGATGGATGGTTGAACTGGAGGGTGTTGGTTGGTGGGAAGGCAAACGTGGGTGGTGCAGAAACAGGTTTGCCGGAAGCCCAAATATGAATTTTCATAGGCAGGCAGGGTCGCAGGTGCCAGAAGTGTTCCAGGAAGAGTTGGAACAGAGGAGGCACAATGGCGAGGTGTAGGTAGGACGCGCGG